TATTTCAAACATTAACATTAATATTTAACAATATTAATAGCAATATATATATATATAAATTTTAAATTCCTATTAAAATATATTTCATATCAGACACAAATTAAATAACTATGTCAAACATCTTTGAACAATGTCAACGTTACTTTAACCTAGATACGAGATAATCAAATTTCGCGTATATTGCATACAACCGATGATGATAATATTCTCATATTTCGCGAAGACAAGACAATTTAATTTATCTCTCTGAAAAATGGAAACCGTTTAGAAGCTATTCGTTATATCACACTTCTAAACAGTATCACATTCCACGGAGGTCAATCACGGTTACCTCGAGTTCACGCCACTGGTAGCATTCGAATCGCGCCCCCTTCGCAATGATTAGACGCGCTGTTGCGCCGCGATAGAAAGCTTGGTCGCGGCGATCGAGAGAAAGCGGTGACTGCTGTACTCTCGAGATGCGACTCGAGAGGAGGGAGGGGGAGAGCCAAGTGTCGGGGCACTTGGATGCGCGGCCGGAAGTTGGTGGGGTTGCGCCACGAGCAGAAAGGTCGCGACGATATAACGGAGTGTATAACCCTCGGGTTCTTGTCGAGTACGGTGGCGGAATTTCTCTCGGCTGTTCGAGAAGTTTGCCATTTATTTCGAATACCACCCTCTCGATGAATACTTTACTCGTCCCGAAAAGTTTTCGCGATTAAAAGTTTGAGAACGATTGTTTCGATATATATATGCCTCAGAGAGTATTTCTTAACGTCGATATTGTCGTGAAATGTAAAATAGTTGCGTCAAGTGTTTATTGCGTTTCTCTCGTTTTGCATTTTTGATATTTGCCAATTAGTAGTAGAATGAAAAATAGAATAAAAATATGAGAAAGTTTAGTTTAGTTTAGTTTTCTTCTTCTTCTTTATTCTTCTTCGTTCTTTCTTCGTTCTTGAAGAACAATTTCTTCAATTATCGAGGCTAACTTCCCATTTCACTTTTCACGAGTCTCGAGATAAAGATTGCCAAAAGCATCTAGGTGAGACGGCGGATAAATTTCTTCTGTCCATTCTAAGATCCAAGGATCGTTCGTTTGGTAAAACAATTTGCCGGCAACGCGGGAGTAATTTCTTGGACTAATGGTTCGTATCACTTTTCATTTTTAACGGAATTAAATTCTAACGAGATGAGAAGAGGAAGGGGAAATAGTTCGACTCTCTAATAAAAAGGAATAAATGAGATAAAAAGTTGGAAAGAAACCAGACATCTGTGTATCTCCCTGGTACCTGTCTAGAACAATTAGAAATTGCGAAGATATAAAAATAAAATGAAAAAGAATGGACCCCGAATGGGTACACTTCAAGCTACACTCATATCTTTTCTCACTTCTACAGAATAATGAATC